ATAACTGCGTAGAGGGACGGACATTTCTGTTTTCTACACACCCACTGACAGAAACCTGTAACATAGCAGAGACAGTGTGATGGGAAAGGCGTCGGAAAACACATCTCCCATGACACTCCCAGTGTGGTTCATCCTGTTGTGCAGCCCCCTTGGATGGAAAGACCAATCTTATCATACAGACTCGTCGCTCGGCCACCATTCATCAACAGAAAACCTGCCACGTCCACTCAGTCACGGCATAGATACTGGTACAGCCTGATCGTGTGATGGGAAAGGCGTCAAAGACACAACTCCCATAACACTTACTGTGGGTGGTCCAGCTGTGCAGACTCCCCTGGATGGAAACAGTGCAGCGACTTCTTCCCAGCCAGTGAAGGGTGCAATCCAGTAAAAGAATGTGTGACCACCCAGCTACCTGGCATGTGGCGCAGTCTGAAGCTCAGGTGATGCAGTGGCAGTAGTCAAGCTACCTGAAATGCGGTTCTTCGCAGCCAGCATCAACCATAGTTGCCGTCACGGCCGTCCTTTCCAGCGTGTGATCCATCCAGCACTCGCGGTCGCGGGATCGGGGAGACATTGGGGCAAGGGTTTTTTTTTCTTCTGGGCTGTTGTTTCCCCGTTTCTCCCATTTTGAAGGACTGCTAGGGCTGACGGTTAGGATCCGGGCTACTGGACTATCGACCTCTAAAGCACAGAATACTCCTTATAGAAGGGTGTTGGCTAAAGTGTACGTCTGGATGGGGGGTTTTGCCCGTCGGCCAATCCGCAACCTGTTCGTGGAATTGGCAAGTCCGGTGGTACATCACATCATCATCCACATCATGTGTTAAGCAACATCATGGGTGGTGCGGGTCGGGTCAAGTTGTGGCTACAAAGCAGTATTTATGATCAAGACATTGGGGAGAAGTTCTCGTCTCGGTTTCCAATCACAAATTAAGAATTGCATCAAATTAGGTTGCACATTTGAATTCCAGGCAGCACTGGTTGCCAGGCATGGATATACTTTTCATTAAGCGGCACTCAAAGTCACTCTCCACAAACCATATAGCCTTACCAGGTGGATCCAAGCCTGTCGTGCAGTGCATAGCTGTTACGGGTCAGAACTAGGAACTCGGTCACATCGAATACTGTGCACTAAAAGCTATTAACAAAAGTAGTTCCCAGTTCTACCCTGCACTGCTCAGTCAAGGTGATGCACAATCTCTCCTTTGTCATTGATCGTAAATGTTGGACTCGACGTTGCTGTCAGGTGACGGGGTTGTTCGAAGCGCAAAGGCGACTGCTTAAGGCGCTTACAAGGCTGAGAGGTTACAGTGAGTTGGCTACAAGGCGAGGGGATATCTCTCACAGCATCCTGGGTCGTCGGCACAGGAAATCCTAGCTCGCGCAACTCACTCAGCACACTCTCAGACAGGGTACGGAAATGTATGACCGTCCAGGCAATAATAACGAGGCGTGGCTTATTGGGATTCCAGGGTTGACTAGCGTGAAGTTTGCGGGCATCAAAGATAATGGGCCCAAGCTTCGCCTCGAAATTATGTCCTGCGATCATCAGGTCTCCATGCCGAAGGAGCGTATCCCCTGAGTTATCTGCAATCCACAAGCCACCACCTTCCACTTCGCTAAGGACCTGGAACAGCGTACCGCATGGACCGTTACGTGTATCACGGTGTGGGGCTCGTGGTGTATCTTCCCGGATCGCAATTGTTGTGAAACAAAAAGATGGACACTGCTGACGGATGAAGTGCAGCGCAAGTTGAGTAAGCTGAGGATGACGGTCTGTTCCACTGAGAAGAGTCGTTCCACTCCTAGGGCTTGCTCCTAGGTAAACGACTGAAGGTCTGCACTCATCACTGCGCTCGAAATCCTTGATCGGGTCTTTGAAATTTTGAGGAATCAGCTCCCACGCTTCGGCCAGATCCTCTCTTTGAACAATGGCCGAGTCACGACTGCATTTCTTATTGACTGCGTAGCACAGCGTCTCTGACTCCGCCAGTTGAAAGTCGACTTTGAGGGCTCTTGCAAGCGTCTTTTTTTGGGAAACCGTGAAAGTTGTTGTAGACTCTACTGTGGCATCGGGATGTTGCGGCTTGCCCGCATCTTCCTCTTGCTGCCACATTTTTGTTGTGTCCATCTGTCATGTCACATGTTACTGCTCTCATGTTCGAGCCAATGGAGGAAGGCCGGCTTGTAAGCTGAGGCGGCAAGTCCCACGCAATCACACACTACATGTCTGGTCACAGGCTGACTTGGGCATCAAAACGCACTTCTGCGTCTAGACTGTGTCGTGCTTCGTCTTCCTATGCTGCTCCACAGGAACTCGGTCAGTCGCGATTTTCATTTTGAGGCAGGCGCTCGACAGTGTGGTGCATGCATGCAGGGATGCAATTCAATTAAGATGCTCAATGCAAATTCAGTAAGTATTTCATTCCTTATCATCCCGAAACCAAAGACCTAGTAGAAACCACCAAAGGTAGTAAAGCCAGTGTGGTGACCCCTGCAGAAAGATGGAGGACAAACTTGATTCTTCCCAGACTAAATGCATTTAATTGCTTCAGATCTACACTCGCCTGGGGTGATCAAGCACGAGGTTTAACCTTAAGACTGTACTGGCGAAAGTGAATCACAAGCACAACATGTCACCCCAGCATGCCACAGGCCTGCGCCAAGTAAGCCAAAGCATCGCGAGCTCTTGCATCATTTTGCAAGGCCGTCCATGGCATTGGCTGTGGATTCTGCAGGTTGGGGAACAAAGACAGCGGCTGTCTCAGTGGCAGTGCCTCCTGAATGCGGAGAATCGGCACACCAGATGAGTGGCCTCCTTGCATCGGCGAGATCGGCGACGGTGTAGATGTTGTACTTGGGCCACCGGGTGGATTCTTCGGCACTGACTCAGCACCCGGTGGGTCACTGGCATGCTGCGTCGGTGGAGCTGGAGGCGGAGGCGCTTTGTGCTGCGGGGGAGTCAAGCGAGTGATTGCCTTCTCCATCTGTGTCTGCAGTTTCAGCAGCACTTGTTGGAATTTTTTCCACCGCCTCGCCAAGACTTTCCAACATGTCATCTTGACCTTTCAAGTGGCCTTGATTTTGCCACACTGTTTGATTCGCCAAATCAAGATTTTGTTCGATGCTGCGAACCTGGGAGTGGCCGGCAGCGTTGGCGTGAATTTGCTGCAACGGCGTCATAATCTCCGTCCTCAAACTCGAGAGCATAGATTGGGTTTGTTTGGTAGCCGCCAACACGCTTTGATACTGGCTTGTATCATTCACACGCAGATCTTTGAGATTGTTGAGGGTCTCATCGGCGGTCCTCATCACAGACTGCAAGTCGCTCTCGAGGGAATCGAAACGATTGGTAATGTTGGAGTCTGCAAGCACTGTGAGTTCTGCTTGAACTCCCGTCATCACCGTGATGATGCTGTCAAGGCGAGCTTGCAGTTCCGAGACCATCCACGTCTGCTGGGAGTTCTGGGACAAGTCCATCATTTCCTGCATGCTGGTCTTCAACTGCTTGTGCGCCTTGGTGCGCGAGTCTTCCACGCATGCAGTGAATTGACCTGGTAGTTGCTGCACGAGTTGAATTAAGTCTGTCAAACGCTGCGCGGTCTCATTCTTGAAGTCCTCAAAGTTCACGGTGTTCACTGCGGGGCTTGCATCCAATTTTGTTTGAATTTCTTGAATTAGAGTGTTCACCGTCTCGTTGAGGTTGCAGATGTAGGTCCGGTTGTGCGACTCCAAAGCATCCTGCATGTCTCTTGTCACGCGCTTGGTCAGGTCTTCCATTTTTGTACGGATCGATGCCCAAGCCAAGGTCGTTTGGTCCTCCATCAGCGCGGACATGCTGCTACGGAAGGCGTGGAGCGCAGGGGTATGGATGAAAACTTGATGTTTCACAGCTGAAATTGATGCATGAAGGCAGCGTCGAGGCACCTTGTGCGTGTCATGTAATTAAGAGGCATTTTCAGCAGGGCAGACGCATGACCATGGCATCACACGCATTGCGCTCTGACTCTGACTCTGGACATCTGCGTAACTGCTGCTATTGGTATCAGTGACAAGGGTTTCAATATCATGCTTCTCGACAAACTTTTGAGAGATGAGATCGTGTCCGCAACCAGTGTCCATGAGGAACTTGATCTTGCTGCGAACCCAGGTTAGTCGAACCATACACTTGAATGCACCTCGCTCAATCCCTACCTTGCCGTCACTGGCGTTCATTCTTCTCTCCATCAACACGTCTTCGCGTCGAAGAAGGCTACCTCTGTGACTCGTTGGTCGCGGTCTCGGGGGAGATCTGCTACATTCGGCACGTGCCTCCATGTCGGGTCTATCCTCAGAGGGTACGGGTGCTACTTGGGGATTGCTGCCTTGGTGTGGCTGTCGTCGCTCGCTGTCGTCCAGGTCGACACTCTTGTCGCCTTTGGCTGGCGAATCGCGTCTTCGTGAAACTTAAACCTCATAGAAGTCCTGAACTCCCAATCGCGGAATGCACTGGGCGACACGTCACAGATATGTGTGTGTGTGTATGTATATATATATATATATATATACATGTGACCCGCTTCTAGTCAAGTCTCCAGAGGAGTATCTAAGTCTGTGGCACGTGAGAACCGGCGTCCTGCAACAGACATCGCCTGTTAGATCGATGTAACGGCAAAAAAATTCGGGGGAGTCAACGCAGTGGGTCGGTATAAAGGCTCGCCCAAGCCTCACGATTACCCTGGTACTCGGTCCCGCTCGGCCAATCCACCAAGGGGTGCCGGCTCCGCTGCCAGTTTGAAGTTGGTCGGACTTTTCCCAATGCACTGCGAAGCTATCCAACACGCTCAAGGGCCCCATGCATGTCCACAATCAACAAGCAAAGCTGAGCTGGAATTCAGAATTACTTGTCCATAGTTATCCGTAGGTCCTGGCGACATGCGTAAGAGGCGTGCAGAACCACTAACAATCCACCAATCCAGACGACAACTTAACTTGGTGCCAGCAGTACGACCGCGTGCCTCTTCTTCCGCACGGGCCCTCTCGAGCGCCTCTTCTTCCTGCGCCAGTCACCATGCAAGTGTGTCGCTGCACAACGCACGCTCCTCTTGACGGCGCTTTTCGTCTTCTAATCGGGACCTCTCCTGTGCACCAATACCATTGGAAATGCACTTCATGCAGAGCCCCGGCTACGCGCACAAATGATAGCTCAAAACCCATCAGCTACCACAGAACCTCCTCTGCCCTGGCTTGCTCCTGCATGAACAGGTAGGCACTGACAGTTTGACCAAGCAAGCCAGCAAGCAAAACTAAACCCGAAGGAGTAGCGGGTTGCACTTCGGCAACGCATATACTGCCCGCCTCTTGTCTGCGCATCTCCTCTGCTGCCTGCATCTGTCGCATAGGTCACAGACCGCGGGGCTACCAAATCGACCTGCATGTGCTGCTGCCAGGATACCTCCTGTCTCTGCCGCTCCTCCTCCTCCTCCAAGCGCGCACACTCCTGGATTGACAGACGCCCGTGCAAACACAGAACCGCCGGTACCAATCCCTGTGCTGTGTCACTGCGTTGGACGATGATCGGAAACACTGTTCTTCCGCGCGCTGTTTTCGGCACAAGGTCTTGGCCCATGCCGACAACTGAACATGGTGCCAGCAGTACGACTACGTGCCTCTTCTTCCGCACGGGCCTTCTCAAGCGCCTCTTCTTCCTGCGCCACTATACAGGTGACCGGTGTGCTCAGCGATGTCGCTGCACAACGCACGCTCCTCTTGACGGCGCTTTTCTTCTTCCAATCGGGACCTCTCCTGTGCACCAATACCATTGAAGATTCAATTCATGCAGAGCCCCGGCTACGCGCACAAATGATAGCTCAAAACCCATCAGCTACCACAGAACCTCCTCTGCCCTGGCTTGCTCCTGCATGAACAGGTAGGCACTGACAGTTTGACCAAGCAAGCCAGCAAGCAAAACTAAACCCGAAGGAGCAAGGTGGGTTGCACTTCGGCAACCCACATTCTGCACGCCTCTTGTCTACGCATCTCCTCTGCTGCCTGCACCTTTCGCATAGGTCACAGAGCACGTGGCTACCATATCGAAGACTGCAGTGCTGTGCTGCTGCCAGTATACCTCCTGTCTCTGCCGCTCCTCCTCCTCCAAGCGTGCGCACTCCTGGATTGACAGACACTAGGAGGAACGATGCTTGGAAGTACTGTTCTTCACTTCATTGTTGCTTGGTGCCAGCAGTACTCTCACGTGCCTCTTCATCTGCACGTGCCTTCTCGAGCGCCTCCTCTTCCTGGGGAAACCCACAGTCACGAACCGTGTCTTGGATCGTCTTGGGTAACTATGCGAGTTTGGTCGACACAGCACAGCACGCGCCTCTCGTCGTCGACTTTCTTCCTCCAATCGCGCCCTCTCCTGCGTACAGATGTGCTTCATTCAGCACTCGGCTGACGTGCTGCGGTAAGTCCTGCACCCACACCCACACGCCACACCCCACACCCCACAGACACAGCCACTGTGGGTGTGGGTCTGGGGGCATCTGGGTGGGTCTGGGTGGGTCTGGGTGGGTCTGGGTGGGGGTGCGGGTGCAGGTGCGGGTGCGGGTGCGGGTGCGAGGGCGGGTGTGGGTGTTCTCGTTCATTACAAGTGGTGCGGGGACGGATGGAACGTAGGAGAGCTCCGCCCACCGAAGCCCTCCCTTACACCCCAACCGTCCGCACGTGCATTCGCTCGCTCAGGATAGCTTGGGCAGCCTCATATCATTTTCATCCTCACCTCACCTCCTGATACATCATTCACGCTGTCTGATGCAGCGCTCCTTGTGTCTGGCATACTTGGTACCAAAGTCTTCATCTCATCTTCGAGATCAGATCATGACCAAAATCATCCAGCCGACAACGTGTGCAACCAGCCTTCAACAATTGCGTGCGTGCGCATGTTGGCAAACCCTGTATCCCAAGCGCAAGCATCAAAATCCAGGTCAAGTGTCCCAAAGAAAATCTTTCACTGTTCAGCCTTGCACATGCTGACCTCTCTTGTCGGCTGCCCCAAAGTCATCAATCAACGAGCTCCCGAACGATCCCTGCCGTCGCACCTCTTGTCTCCGCCTCTCCTCTTCCAAGCACGCACTTGCCTGCATGTGGTTCTCTTGCTGTGGGTAAAGCTGCCCCTAAGTTTTGCGTGAGTCCGTAGATCCTGTAGACCGTCTCCCTCCCTTGCTGCTGTGTCTAGCGTCGAGCAGCTCCTCACTAAGTTTCGGGATCGCAGCATACCAGCATTACAGACGGCTCGCTGCCAGCCTCTTGCTCTGCACGGGCATTCGCAAGAACCTCCTCTTCCTTGGAGCAAGGGAGGAGGAACAGACCCGGTGCTGACAGATATCTGCTGCCCACCTCCCGGCGAAACCTTTCTTCCTCCAGTCGTGCTCGCTCCTGGATGCGGGCAGGCACGATGCCACAACATTGTTAACAAGCCATGACATGCGCGAGCACTGACTGACGGTATGCTTCCACACCTGTAAGTATCGTGCCTCTCTCCCTGCGACTGAACGCTACGACTACGAGAGCGCGGGGAGTCAACCAACCTATCCAAGCCGTATCAGACCCCGCTCGCGGATTCCATCGAACTCTAGCAGTCTAGCCTTCTGGATCCTTCCGAACGAGCCCTGCTGTCGTGCCTCTTGTCTCTGCCTCTCCTCTTCCATGCGCACACTTTCCTGCACATGGTTCTCTTGCTGCAGGTGAAACTGCCGCTTGGTTGCCTGAGTCCGTACACCGTCTCCTATACCGCTCGGTCTAGCATTTTTAAGTTTCGCGATCAACGAAACGGGCCAAGGCGGCATAGCATCTTTCGCGGCAGCAAAACAGCACTACTGACGGCTTGCTGCTGGCCTCTTGTTCTGCGCGGGCACTCGCCAGAGCCTCCTCTTCCTGCGATCACATGCAGGACGACCGGACGCAGCGCTGAGTGCTGAGCGATATCTTCCGCACACCTCTAGAAAAAACCTTCCCTACTATTTCCTACTCCAATCTCTCTCGCTCCTGCTGCAAGCAAACACCATACAACGCAAACCGCAGCTGCATGCCACGAGCTGTGCGAGCACTCCAGCAAAGTTCATCAGTAGGGCGACATGGCAGTGCACCTCTCGTCGTCGCCTCTCTTCTTCTAGCCGTTCCTGCTCCTGTGCATACAGCGGGGCAAGTTGACGTGCCACGGCTGACGGCAGCTGCAACTTACGGATGACCGTGGCTAGGACGGGCGGAGCTGCCCTAACCTGTCCAGCCTCCTGCTCTGCCTTGGCTTTCTCAGACATGCCGCGCAAACATGATCACAGACCCTAACATGCCCCGACAGCAGATCCTTCGGTCAGGATCCTCCCGCTCAGTTACACTGCAACTCTTCTGCATGGTGGCCATCAGAACGAGCACTTCTTCCCGCCTCTTGTCGGCGCATCTGTGCTGCTGCCTCCAACTCTGCAACGGCAAGCATCTCACCATACTTGCACGCACCACGTGGCCTCAGCGCGGGCCTTCTCCAATGCCGCTTCCTCCTCCTACCAAACCACAGCTGAGCGTTCACATGGGCAAGCTGGAAGCTACTAGACAGAAACTGCTTCTTCTACAAAGTCTGCACCCCTTGTCTTTGCCGTTCCTCTTCCTCCTCCACGCATGCACTCTGCTGCGTGTTGCTCCAACTGGTCGGGGAAACCTCCTGTATTGACCAAGGCAGTCGCAGTTTCAGAAACACTCTTCCGAAGGACGCTTGCGGGATGCCTCTTCCTCTGCCATGGCCCTCTGAAGTGCTTCCTCTTCCTGCTTCTTGAAATGCCACTGCACCGCAGGCTTAGCGTGAAACGGTCGCTCCATCAGCTGCTCCATCATCCACTATCACTGTCAGACATGGCGACATGGCAATGCACCTTCTAGCCGTTCCTGCTCCTGTGCATACAGCGATGCAAGTTGACGTGCCACGGCTGACAGCAGCTGCAACTTACGGATGACCGTGGCTAGGACGGGCGGAGCTGCCCTAACCTGTCCAGCCTCCTGCTCTGCCTAGGCTTTCTCAGACATGCCGCGCAAACATGATCACAGACCCTAACATGCCCCGACAGCAAATCCTTCGTGCAGGATCCTCCCGCTCAGTTACACTGCAACTCTTCTGCATGGTGGCCATCAGAACGAGCACTTCTTCCCGCCTCTTGTCGGCGCATCTCTGCTGCTGCCTCCAACTCTGCAACGGCAAGCATCTCACTATACTTGCACGCACCACGTGGCCTCAGCGCGGGCCTTCTCCAATGCCGCTTCCTCCTCCTACTAAACCACAGCTGAGCGTTCACATGGGCAAGCTGGAAGCTACTAGACAGAAACTCCCTCTTGTCTTTGCCGTTCCTCTTCCTCCTCAACGCATGCACTCTGCTGCGTGTTGCTCCAACTGGTCGGGGAAGCCTCCTGTATTGACCAAGGCAGTCGCAGCTTCAGAAACACTCTTCCGAAGGACGCTTGCGGGACGCCTCTTCCTCTGCCATGGCCCTCTGAAGTGCTTCCTCTTCCTGCTTCTTGAAATGCCACCGCACCGCAGGCTCAATGTGGAACGGTCGCTCCATTAGCCGCTGCATCATCCACTATCACTATCAGACATGTCGACATGGCAGTGCACCTCTCGTCGTCGCCTCTCTTCTTCTAGCCGTCCCCGCGCCTGTACTACAGCGATGCAAGTTGACGTGCACGGCTGACGGCTGCTGCAACTTACGGATGACCGTGGCTAGGACGGGCGGAGCTGCCCTAACCTGTCCAGCCTCCTGCTCTGCCTAGGCTTTCTCAGACATGCCGCACAACTGGAGAGATGCATATTGAGCCCGCCTTGTCTCGTCTGATTCATGAGTTGTACGATCGTCCAATATACGTGACTGACAAACTGTTTTCACATCACTCCTGAAGTCACGCAGATTGCGGCAACCATGCTGAAAGAACGAACATTTTGTTGCAACCTGCGAAAACCTGGTTTTGTCCACAACGCAAACTAGGGGCACACCAGCTGTGTACGCAGACACCCAGGTCGCGCAGCTACTTTTTGCAGGTAAATTTTCCTGGTCGAATCAAGTGGAGCTTCGTTGGCGACGGCCAGTTGAACGACCCCGTCGCCCTCTGCAGGATAAAATCTGAAAACGGAAAAAACCAGAGCATCAAACACAAATCAGACACGTCAGAACCCTAATGGTGTGATGCAGAACATGTCCCATGTACAGCAGGATCACACAAACAGGCCAATTCGGGGCAGCGATGATAAGTCGCTCGCCGCTGGACTTCCTTGTTTCCTCGAAGCCGGCTATGTTCCTGGTAATCAAATACTCTCACAGCATCTGGCCCGTCTACTCATGAGGCCAGGTGCGCACAAAGGTAACTGGCACAAAAGGAGAAATAGCCGAAATCCGATCAGTATATGGAAGGTGACGTCCTCGCTGTCTCAGCAGAAAGGCATTGAGTCGCGGAGCCAGTCCTGTATGGTCCCAAATAACCTGCTGTAGCTGTCGCTTGACATCATCGATATAATTGCAAGTCTCCATTCGAACAAACGCGGTGAATGCCCGCTCTTGTGTACAGATATCCGGAGGAACATGAACCTCAATGGACCTGTTGGGGAGAAGGTGATGTGACAAGGAAAACGCGTAACCTGCAAGAAGAACAACCGCGACAACATTGCAAAGAGACTTCCGAAATGCCCGCTTCTATTGCAGCAAAGCACATGTCAGCGAAGATGGTACGATCCGCCCGCTGAGATCGTAATACCTCCCTGAGACCTGGATCTTTCACGAATCTGTGCATCACTCAAATGTCGAACCGGTCGATGGCTTGGAGCGATAGGGCGACGTCTGCAGGGCAAAGCCGCGCGTTGTAATGGGTCACCCCGAGGCACGTCAGACTCCGCATTGGTGGTGGCTGACTCATCGTCACTTTGTGCAGGCAAGGGAGCCGACAGACGAGGACGAGGGGAGGACGAGACAGGAGGAGGAGGAGGAGGAGGAGGAGGAGGAGGAGGACCGGACACAGAGAAGAGGAAGAGAACGAAGAAGGAGGGGCAACCACAGGAGGAGAGAGAGGAGGAGGAGGGGGAGGAGGACGAGGAGTTGGGGAGGAGGAAGAGAAGAGGAAGGAGGAGAGACAAAGCAAACACACAAGACAGAAAGACGAGGAGAAGGAAGAAAGGGACGAGGGGGAAACTGCTAATTTTCACTCAAACACAAGCGCCTGCGGAGTAGCGAAGTCAGCACATTGGGCTCAAACGAATTAGGGAGCTCTTCAAGTAAAACAAATGCACATGTAAATACCGGCCAGGAAAACAAAATGGAAAATACGTGTACATACTGTACGAGTACATATACAAGGTGTGCAAAGTTTTGCACCCCGCCTAAAGCATGCCGAAGTCCAACTAAGGCCAATGCTTTCACATAACTTTGCGACTTCCAAAGCCACACTGTACGAAAGCTCAAAGCTACGCTAGGGCCGGTATGACGAATACGACAACAAAGTAACTAGTGGTTACTGCTCCCACGAACGTGCACCTCTGCTCACAAGCACTGCCGAAAGGTCTTTGGCTTGAACTGGCTACAGCTACCTGCTACCCTACGGGTGCAGTGGCACCAGCTGCCTACGGAAACAGAAACACACTCGCCGCAGCAGTGTGCTCCTGTTGTTGCAAGCTTGACTCAGGCAAGCGGACCCGCGGTCGTGAAGCAACAAACTGGCAGCGCTCAACAGAAGTGAAGAAAACCTGACTTGCAGCAGGACGCAAAAAGTGTGAGGAAAGCGCGATTCATGCGGGATCATGCAAACACAAGTTGATAATCAAGAAAGTGTCTGCCCTGTACGCAAAACAGCCGAAGGAAGCCTACAACCAACGACTAAAAGTATTAGAACCTCCTAATCAAGGTCCAGCATTGGCGGAATGCATCATCGCCATTGCACGTGTCAGCAGTGCACTCAAAGCGCACATATTCTCGGGTTTGCCAAAATGGCATGCGTCACAAGTATTGATGGTGCAAAATGCACCATATGCACATTCAAGAAAGCCATACAAGTATATGCTCAAGATCATCGGCACCTGAAGTTGACAGAAGGGTCCAGGACCCAGCAACATGAGCATCCAAGCTATAATACAGGTGGATATATACAAGATGCCCCATGGTATCAACACGCCGAGTGTTGACACCAAGAAAGCATCGCATCAAGAGCATTTCAAGTGGCCATCAAGAGAGGCTTTGCACACACATCATGCACCGTCACTCAAGGATTGCATTTCTTGCATGCACGGAGTCCGCGGTTCTGTGCTTCGTGGCGCTCGTACGCCTTCACACGATCGCACCCATCAAGCTTAAAGCACCGGAGACGATGGTAGCAGCGGCCTGTGTGCGACACCCACACGAGGCTCCCACGGTGGTTCATCCTCCGTGCCACAGCGATAGGGTACCCGTGCAGCTCGCGGAACGACTGCGTCGAAAGCTGTGAACTCATGGATTCTGCTGGTGTTCCAGGTGCTGATGCATGGTCAACAGGAGGCACATGAGCCTGCACTGCATTCATCGCACCAGTGGGCGGTGCTGCTGATGAACTCGCGTCGGGATGAGGAGCATCCTCATCGTCGTACCTCGGACCTGGTCTGGTAGAAGCTTTGGACCTTGCACCTTTGCGTAGCGCGGACAAAACATGTGGAGGGCTATCATCACCATCAAAGTCGAAAGACAAAGGATTCGTAGGGGTCCCAGGCGCACCAACTCCAACATGCAAATTGAGCTGGCGATCAAACTGAAAGGAAACATGATCACGAGGGCCAGCGATCTGCACATTGACCTGGCCGCGATCAGATGCCCTGCAGCACAAAGTGCGGATGCACAACACAAGCATCAGCATTGTCACGCACGCAAGGATCAAAGCATGGGGCTGCACAAGCATGTCGATGACAGACACACCAGTGTCATCGCGGACCCACAGTCCCAAGAACCACACAAGGACCCGGTTGGCCCAGTCAGGAAGGTCAGCTCCTGAGTCATCCAAGCCGTTGTCACCGTCAGCATCATCCGCAGCACGACTCAAGGCGCTCACAACAGCGATGACAATGGCCTGAATCATAGGCTTGCTCACGGACGCACTCGATGTGGAGCGGACGGCACGCACAGCGTCCTTCATTGCCTGCTTGTAGCGCAGATCAGCAATCTCATCTTCTCCAACAAAGCACTCATACACAGTATGCCAGCAACCGATGATGTGCAAAAGCATGAGCATGCGGCTCCGAGAAAGGCCTTTGGTGTTCAGGTCGGCCACATTGATCGATGTTGCAACTTTGCGAAGCATGATGATCTTATCTGCAACAAGCTGCTGAGTCCACAAGACTCGGACGCTCAAGTGCCTGACGCGGCCGACGCCGCTTCGCTCCATGATGCCTTTGGCAGCGCTGGCATCGAGGAAGTGATGAATCTGGGGTGGCTCATCGTCAGCAATGAAAGCGAGTAGCTGCCGAACAAACAAAGCGTCACAAAGTGTAGACGTCGCTGCAAGCAATTCCGATTCCCCTGAGCTCAAAGCTATCACCCTTTGTGTCCGGCTAGAGCTGTACAAAAGGCAACCTGCTACGAACACCATCCCTGAGCTAACCGATTTGCGAGAGCCGCGATGCGCCGCCCAGTTGGCGTCCGAAAAGGCTTCTAAGCACAAGATCGGCTGGCTCGGTCTCGGAATCTCGCCGGAAACTCCGTTGTAACAGTTTCTGCGATCAAGCAAGAGACCATGGTGTTGGCCTTCAAGAAGATACTTCAACAGATGCCTCAAAGCAACCTGCGCATTGCGTGTTGGCGAAGTCATATAGCTGCTCAACGCACGAATGGCACCCTGACACTCGATCAAATCCACTGCCAAGTACAAAAGAATGCCAATGGCACAGCGGAAAGCCTTTGCATCTGCACACGCGAGAAGCTCACTGTTGTCTATTTCATCAAGCTGCGGCGCATAAGGAGTCTTCTTCGGGGCACTCCGTTCATCGATTTTCATCACAGAAAACAGCTTTTCAAAATGCTTGGCCGAGGGTGTTAGCAGCATTTTACCGTCAGCAAGAAGTGTGTGATGCCGCTTCAAGAACGAAATCGTGTCCCCCGGAGCTTCAAGGATGCGGATGCTTACACGATACTTTGATTCAAGCGTGGGCCGGAGGCGCTCAAGAAGAAAGCGCTTGCTGCCTGCACCCAACAAGTCATCGACATGCATCTGCATACTGAACTTGGAAGCTGGCTCGCGAATCAACGAGGGCAGAGCATCACACTTCTTAAAACCCAAGGCTTCATCAAGAAAACTGGAAAATGCCAAGTACCACTCCTTGGATCCGTCCCGCTGTCCGGGCAAGACTCGTCCCAGCACGTAGCGGACACCTGCATGTTGCACAATGACCAGGCGGGTCTGCTTGACGCTAAGGTAAGCATCACTGATGTCGAGGGCGACCATGACCCAAGGATCATCAGGGTCAGGCTCGTGACACAGGTAGTGGATCGGCAGCAAGCGGTTCGAAAGTGCTGTGGAAGCGGGCGAAAAGAGGTCATGACGCTCATTGAGCCACGCATACTCTCGGGCCACGTACCGGCTGCGTCGGTACCAAACTGGGGAGCCACCAAGCTCCTTCTCACGCCACGTGCGCACCATGCGCGTGGTGAGGTG